AAAGCCTGACACGGGTATCTGGGACAGTCACGGTCACGGCCATGGACACGGCAAGCAGAGGATAAAGCAAGACAGGACACAGCAGGAAATGACGTCTGCCCCGAGGTGACGGATAGAAAAACGAACACCCAGAAGAACGAGGAACCTCAGCAAATCAATTCAACAAAAACAAAAAAAACCGAGGGACAGGTGTGGACAGACAACATCACTGAGAGGACATCCAGACTGTCGCCAGTCAAGGAAAAGGAGAGCCACCGCACTAGCCATCAGGGACACGAGGCCCCGCACTAGATCCACGCACTGGGAAGTGGCCGTCGGGCCTCCCGGTCCCCCATGAGCTCTGTGTGGAAACAGAGGGGGAAACGGACAGGGAGCTTTCTAGAATGTTTTTGGCAAAATCACGGTAATTTTACATCTGTATCCAGTAATAAAAGCGCAGCTAGTATTTCAGAGATCTTATTTTTTACTGTTTTGTTTTTCTGGCAATTCATCCTGTTGCACTCGGCCAAAAACTCAGACGATGACAAACCAGGACAAAAGGGTCCTTCCGCACGACAGCCTGGGGCAACCTAGCGAGGAGCCGGAGCCAAGGGCACCAGAGGCCACCTGGACTTCACTGTTACAGTTTCCAACGTGCGCCAACCCCCCAACCTTGGGTGTCCATCCCCGCACAAAGGGTGTTGTGCATCAAAGAGCTTGTGGCGTGATTTCACCCACAAGAAGCAGCAACCCGTGCCCAGCATCAGGGGTCGAGCTGAACACACCACACGTGGCGGCAGCCCCGTCGTCCTGCTGACGAGTGGTGAGGAACTCTTCTGATGTACGAGGCAGGCGCAGGCTGAGCTCCAGGTAGCCAGCTCAGGACCCGGAGGGGAAGCGGGAGGGGAAGCGGGAGGGCAAGCGGGGAAGAGGAGCGGGCCGTACCTGTCTAAGGGCTAACAGGTGCTGCTCCTGCTGCTGCAGGTTCCACTGGCTCTGCTGGATGAGCTCGTCCATGGATGGGGCTCCCTGGGCCGGTGGGATGGGCGCAGCCGGGGCCAGCGGGGGCTGCGGCAGGGGAGGCAGCGCCGCGGCCGGCTCCAGCTCCGGGGCCTGCTGCTTGCAGATGACTGGCGGGAGAGGAGGAAAGGCGGCCCCCATGAGGAGGTGGCCCCTCGGCTGCTGCTCAGGCAGCCCCAAGCCAGAAACTGCCCCTGCCGATCCTCGCCACCCACAAGAGGACCCCGGTGCCGCACTGCAGCCCCCTCGCTCTGCACCCGGCCCCCCACTCACAGGGCCCGAGCCCTGGACCCTTTCCGGTGGGACGTCACCTTGCCCCTCTCCCGCCCACCATCTGGCCTGGCCCAGCGGCCTTCCAGCTGAGACCAAGCCCATCCCCCTCCACCCCTCACCCAGGCCGGAGCCTCGGCTGAACCCAGACCACGGCCACTGGCGGACAAACGGCCCTCCCCAAGGGTGTCTCTCGTGTCCCGTCCCCGCCACCTCCTCAGCAGCTTCTGTCTGTAAAAACTCTCCCTTTGCCCCCCGGCCCTCTGGCAACGGTCTTATAGCTGAGACTCATCTTCAATCCTTCAGCTCCCGTTTAGGTCGGCCCATGGCCGTCTGGCTGTGCATCCCCACCCCGGGCCACTGTGGACATCCTTCCTCAGCCCCGTGGCCCCGTCTCAGGTCCTTGTCTCACGTGGCCTGTGTGGCCACCCCCAGGCCCCTTTGTCTTCCTCTGCCGGACCCCTGAATGCGGGGATGCCTGGTCTGCCCTCTCCCCTGGGCCAGCCATAGGGCAGTGGGACACAGGAGCTGCGAGGCGGCAATTACTGTGTGCGAGCCACGCTCCTTCCTCTACCGTCTCCTGGAGTCCTCGCGCGATGGATCTGATCACGGACCAGACAGCCCACTGACCTTCCAAAGGCACAGCACACAGGCCCGCGTGTCCTCTCGCCACGTGCTCCCCTCCCCACGGCCCCTCCCGGCCCCCGTGGCTGGCACGGCTATGCCCACACCCGGAGCCCAGAAGGTCCGGGCACTTCTTTCTCCCTTGCACCTCGCACTAACAAGCCACCCCGTGTAGTGAAGTCAGGCTCCTAGATGACACTCCAGCCTGTGTCCCTGCCGTCCCTGCCGTGACTCTGCTGTCACCTGCATCACCCTTGGAACTGATCTCCCTGCGTCGGGTCCCGCCCCTGTACTTCTCAACAGCATGGCCGGAAGCTCCTGTTTCAGGTGCGGTCTGAGGGCTGGCCCTGGGCAAAACCCGGACCAGTCAAGTATAGACGGGCCAAGGGATCCTTCTGGCACCTTTATAGCAACTCGATGTTTCACAGATCACGTTTTATTGTATTTTGCAAAAGTGTACTTTCCACAACAGGTTGGAAGTTCTACAAAACGAAAAATAAAAGCTAGTCCTTCACTGGACTTTGCAAAGCGCCACTCTAGAAAAGCCTCGGGGCTCACTCTTCTCAAACTACCCAGGTGCAGCGCCAGCTACAGTGGCTAAGCCCGCTCCACGACCCAGTCCTGAAATCCTCCAGGGCCGCCCCAAAGCTTCCGGGAGAACTCCTAAGTCCAGCCAGCCCTCCCTCCTCTGCACCCTGGCCTCTGTCCACTCCAAGCATCCCCCTTTCTCTGGGCTTTAGCCACTCTGAGCTATTGCCCCCCACTCCCAGCCCAAGGCTCTTTCCCCGGCCTGAACACTTTTCTCTTCTTTGTTTCCATCTGGCTAATTCGGACACATTCTTTAATCTCAGCTGAAACGTTGTTGCCTGCAGAAGGCATTTCCTGAACCCCCATCTCTCCCTGCTAGAAGCACCGTATCCTTCCCCCCATTACAGTACCAAGTCCTAAGTGGCGTCTGATTTCTGACCCTCCAAGGAGGGAGTGGGCTCCCCTTGCAGGGAAAACAGCGTCTTACCTCACGGTCACGCGAGCCAAAGTCGTCCTCTGCCGGGTTATGCCACCCTCATCAATATCCGACTGATGCCCCAGTTAATGAATTCTACCCCTTAACCCCACTTGCCCCCATGCCCACTCCCTCCTACTCAACCTGCTGACCTAATTCAGACCTTACCATCAACGGCCCTGTTCATTCACCTGCAGACCTCCCCGGTCTGCAGCCTCCACTCACGCCCCCTCCAGCCTGTCCTCTACACTGGCCACACAAACCTGACCCACCTCTCCCTTTTTCAAACTCTCCTGTGGCTCTCCACCGCCTATAGCGGCAGTTTCCAAAGTGATGTGCTGGGGCTAAGGAATGGTTGCCCCAAAAACACTCAAGTGCATACAACAATTTGCCTACAATTTTAGGCAAATCTCCCCCACCCCCACCTCAAACCTAACTGGGCACCAGACGAAACCCTAGACTGTGGGAGAAAACCCGAACTTTCCCCCTGGCATTTACCACTCCAGATCAAACCCTTCCCCCCTCTACACACGTCCTATGCTCCAGCCATGCTGGGCCTCTCATGATTTCTCTTACCGCTCCCTAAACACATTGTATTCATTTAAACCACAGCACTTTTGCTGTTTCTCACAAACTTTTTATTGAACACCTACTAAGTCCCATGTCGTAGGGCACAACAATGACCCAAACAAGGTCTGGTTGGCCTCAGGGAGCTTGTAGTCTAGGAAAGATTCACCTTTCAATGCCCATCTACTTGGCAGCCCCCTGCTCATTCATTCAAACACTCTATCTAGAAATGTGGTATGGAACAAGACAGATGTGGGCTCTGCCCTCAGGGACCCACCACCTGGTGACTACTTATCTATTATTCAAAGGCCAGCTGTGATTCTTAAACCCACCTTAAACTCTTTGAGGGCAGGGCTGGCATCCTGATACCCAACCCGGTGAACATCGATAAACATCTGACAAAAACTAAAACCCAAAGAACAAGTCTTTTGGGTCCGGACTGCAAACACCTGAAATGCACAAAAATCTTGCTAGACCATCTACACAGAGAGCTCACAATGGGTGCTGGACAGTGCCTGCCAGGAGGGTCCCGGTCCAGCTTCTCTCACTTCCACCCTAGAAAACACCGAAACAGCCACTCTGCTTCTGCTGACCTAAGTCATCACATCTGCAAAAACGATAGAGAAATCCCTGATCCGGAGCCCAGGAGAAGGATCGATAACCTCATTCTCCATTACACTCGGGCCCAGCAGCCGCTAGGTGCAGGGCCCTGGGAACAGCGGAAGGCATCAAGAAGGCCCAGCTGCCCCATTTTCAGAGACAGAGCATGCGGCCCACAAGAAGGCGGTTTGTGGCAGAGCCCGAACTGGAGTCGGAGAAAGGAATCGCTCGAAGGGACGGCCTGAGAGCTGGAGAGAACTCACGCTGCTGCTGCTCCAGCGCCAGCTTGCACTTATAGTAACTGTAGAACTCGCCTCCGAACAGAAACGAGAATTTCGGGTTGTCCTTTTGCTTCTCCATCGTCATCTTCTCAAACTCGGGCCCGTTGCGAGCCACGAACTGGGCCAGCTTGTCGATGACATTTCGAAGTTCCTGGTCTGGAGGACGGAGAAAAGGCCACGCGGGGCGTCAGCGAGGACCGCCCAAATCCGGGGGCCCTGGTGTCCCAGCCCCCGTCCGCCGGGCCGGGGTCCCTAGGGTTGGGCTCCACAGAGGCCGCCCTTGTACGGGTCCCGATAGGGGCCACACGCGCGCCGGGGATGCGGGGACCCGCGGAAGAGGCCGCAGGCGAACCCGGGAGGCCGAGCCCCGCCACCTCCTAGGCCCGGAAACCCCGGAAGGCGGGGAGGGCCAAGAAGGGATTCCAGGGAGAGAGGGACGGTCCCCGAGCCCAGGCTGGGCCTCACCGTCGGGCGGCAGAGGCATCTCCATGGCTCCGGCCGCAGGGAACGTCCTCCGGCGCCTCACGATCGCCCACCAGCCCCGTCTGCGGAAGCCGGCCGGAAGTGGCGCGAGGGAGCCGTTTACGGCTGGCCTCGCGGGCTGCTTCCGCCCTCCACTTACGGCCGTCGCCGGGAAACCGCGGAAGTGAGGGCAGAAGGCCCGCGGGAAGAAGCCGCGCGAGGCCGGGCGCGCGGTAGGGGCTAGCGATGCGCACGCGCAGGGGCTTTCCCGCGCTTGCGCGGGGTGGGCCGATGTCGCGCTACGCCCCGGAACGGCTGGAACGGCGCAGACTACCGTTAGCCACGGCCGCGGCGTCGTCCCGGCCTCGCGTCGTAGGCGGAGGGCCTGGCAGGCCGCGTTCTCCGCTGGACCAGGACTCTGGGGAGTTCCTCCCCGCGGGGCTGCGGTGAGAAGACTACGAGGTGAGGTGCGTCCGGAGAGGCTCCCGGGCCGCGACGCCGGGAAGTAGAACCGGGAGGCGACGGGCGTGGAGGGGATGGAACTGGGCTATTGAGGTTCCCAAGATCCTCCCGCTCAGTTTCTTTCAGTCGACCCAACGCTTTGGTAAGGAAGACTTTGGGGCGGGGGACCTCTCCACCCCTGTCGGCCTCACCCTGCGCCCCCCTTGGGACTCGCTGGGCTTCGGTGCAGTCATTCGAGCGGCGTGGAATGAGCGCCCACGACCTGCGGGTGCCCGGCCTTCTAGACTGCGCGCCCAGAGCGCACGGCGCGCCTTCCTCAGAGATGCAGTCACGTTGCTTCTCAAATGACGAAGCGAACGTGTGCTCGTGGTGGGGAAAGAGAACGATGGCAAGCCGCAGTAAATGTTAGCGTAGACTGGACATCCCCGTAATCCGACCTTCCTGAGATTGCCATTGTTAACACTTGGTTGGCTATACCTCCCTACTTTTTCTACGCAAATAAATGTCCATATATTTCAGATACATTTTTTCTTCTTCTTTTGGCTCCAAACTTACTCATTTGACGCTTATGGATTGCCTCCTGTATGCAAGATAATGCCTTAGGCCAGGAATTGACACACTTATTCTATAAAGGGCCAGGTAGCAAATATTTAGGCCATGTGGGCCAAGAGGCAAAATTGAGTATATCATGTAGGTACTTACATAGCGGAAGAGAAAAATACCCTTAATATTTTTTATTGGTGGCATTCAAAATCTAATAAGTAGTTTTTAAAATACAGGTCTTCTAAGGAGAAGAACGGAATGCTTTTTTGCCGTTCTAAGTTGGTCTTTCCTGTCATTAATTGATTGCAAATGTTCACTAGTAAAGACTTCTCGGTTCACAGAAAAGCAGGCGGGGTGTGGTTTGTGATGGAGTTGGGCCTGAGCTCTGCTCTCCTGAGCCTGTAGTCTTGGGTGGGGGGTGGAGACCTGTAAATCAGTAAACAAATACGTCATTACAACGGTGTTAAGGAAAACAGGTTTTTGATAAGGGAGGAGGGTGGGGTCTGCCCCTGGGAAGTGAGGTTTGCATTGAGATCCTAATCAGGAGCAAGCTACGTGATACCCCAGGCAAAGGGAACATGTGGGATTGATCTGTTTAGTATAAAGCTCAGTAATGTGGATAGTGTGGGTATTTTTCCATGCCAGTAAAGATCTATATCGGGGTTTTAATTTGTGATCTGCCTTGGGTGGAATTCAGAGATAGCACACTGTTGTACCTGTATGTATTTTCGTGAGTTAAAGATACATGGCATTTTTCAGATTCTTAATAGGATCTGTGAGCCAAAACGGGTTAATGAATCTGTGTGGTCATTTTTAATGACTGCATAGGACAGTGTGGTGTGGATGTACAGTAATTCATCGAAGCCAGACTCTGGAGTTTCTGGGGTTGGTTCCATTTTTAGGCCGCTACTAAAAGAGTTTTAGTGTAGGATGTGCACATTGAATACTGATAATACTCAACTGTCCCTTCAAAAGATTGGAGACTCGTGACCACTTTATATATTCATGTCTTAATGTTTAAAACACCATTTATCTGAGACAAAACACCATTTATCTGAGACTGAACATTTAAGCATCATGTGGCCTCACCCAGACTCATTTCAGTGGGCCAAATTAGAATCCACTGGTCCGAAGAAAGCAGTAGAGTTGCCAAAAGTAGAGGCTGCTGCACAGATGGTCTCCAAGAACCCGGAAACACAACTCTTAAGGAAACAAGTAAAATATACTCTCCTGGATGGGATGAACTTGCTGAAGTTCAAGAGGCAAAACGGAAAGAAGTTAAAGCCATATGCATTCCCGCTTTGATCTGCAAACATGCTGTGAGAAATTTATCCCAAATCAGAAGTATGGGCTGCACTGTGTATGGCAAAGTTATCCCATAAAATGATGTTTAAATGTGCAGCAATAGGGGTTGGTTAATTACAGTGTATCCCTTTAGTAGATTACTACAATATCATGTACACAGACACACAAAGTCAAGAGAGAGTATTTAATAAGGGGAAATGTTTTTGGCACATTTTTTAAAGCAGATTATAAAATAATATGCATATGCCAGTTGTGAAAAAAATGTGTATATATCTTCAGGGGCAACTGCTGTGTCCAGTCTTTCGTGTGTCTTTTCAGAAATAAACTGTATTCACAAGCACATTTATATAGCAATATATTTTGGAAATTGTTCTCTCTATACATAGAGCTAATTCTTTTTGATGTCTGTATAGATATGTCTTTTAGCTTTAACAATTACTTTCAAATTTGACAAATAGACAATAGACGTTGTTATTAGAAAAAGTCGTGGGTGACAAGGAACTCCAGGCCCATCCAGACCTGTGGTCTCAATAAAGACAAAGCTTGGTGTGACTGTCACCTTGTTCCTACAGTAACAGAACCCCCTGTGGTCAACCAGCTGAAGGCACGGCGGAAGGAATGATGTGGGAACAGAGAAGGTCCTGTTCCATCCTGGAGCAGCACCATTTCTCGGGCCTGATCACGTCGCCGAGCAAGCCTCTGGTCACACAGGAGTTGCCCTGGGGAGACAAACAGGAGTATTCTCGTCCTTGGAGAGGACACTCCCAGGTATGAGTTGGGACTGGTATCTGAACCATGGGGCCACACGCAGCGTGAGCTCTTACTTTCTGCAGGAGCAGGCCCTGACTTGTTGGAGCTGCAGGGCAGACTACAAAGCCACCTGGTCGCCCAGACAGGGTGGGGCTCCTTCAGGGTCTTAAACCGTAGTGGTGTGGCCCAGGCAACTGAAATGAAAGGATACACCTCGGATGGCACTGGCTCATCTTACAAATATATGACAAAGGTGAGGCTAAACAAAACCGCTCACTTTATCTTGGCTGCTTTGCAGGGCAAAGGGCCCTGGCTTGGGGTCAGACACTCCTGGATTGCAGCCTTGCTCCATGGGCCGAGCGGGACCTTATTCCCATTTCCCTCTAGAATGGGGCTAATATCTCAGGTGCTGATGGTTAAATGAGATGTATGTAATACCAAGTATGCAGATAAAATATCCTGAGAATCCTAAGTGCAAATCAGAACATTCTGCTCCCCTCTGGACTTCCCTTAGCATGTTTCACATACCTCCAAAATAGCACCTATATACCACTTACTTAGTTACAGATCTCTAAATGAAGCCAAGCGTGCTCTGAGGCTTAGGTATTTCAGTTTCCTGTACTTGAAACATATTAAATGTCAGTAAATGATTGAACGAAAGGATTATGAATTAAGAGGATGTGGGCAGTTGTTTTAGCAGAAACTCCTACCCGTCAACTGCTACTGAAGGAAGTTCTGTTGGGACCTGGTTTCTGAGTCACATGGAGGGGGAAACGGGCTCTGGAGGCAGACTTACTGGGTGAGTCCAGGCAAGTGACACCCCCCCCCCCGGCCCGCCATGAGCCTCATTTTCAGCTGTAAAATAAAGTTAATAAAGCTTAAACAAAGGGATTATAATGATTGTGAGAAACCTCCCCACCCAGTGTGTTGGGCCTGCAGTAGGTCCTCAGTATTATCTAGTATTCCTCAGAAACAGGCTTCGTAAGCGTAGCTGCTACACCTTCTTGGGTTTTCCATGTTAATTCTGTTCAATAAAGGCATGTCATTAACTGCTGAGTTGTGATTCTAGTTTTATTCTACCATGTCATAAATTTACAAACCACACGTCCTAATTTTTGGCTCCGGAAAAAAATAAAAGGTTGCAGTTTACTCTGATGTGAGAATCAAGTTGGTTTGCTCTCTCTCTCATGTTTTGTTGCTGGGCACGCTGAAAACAGGGTCACTCAGAAAGACCCTTATTGGCAAATTAAGACCAGTCGTGATTCCCTGGAGACCATCGTTTATTTTTGGTAAATGCTATCAATGAATATACACACAGTATCATTCCCACAAAAGTCTATAGCATTTAAGTCTTAAAAACAGGTGACAGTTGAAAAAAATTAACTATTTTCAGTTTCTTGAATAATTTAATGTTCTGTCCCCTTAAGGCTGTGAGACCTTAAGGTATCCGGGCCTGGTTACGTCCCAGCAATAATAAAGGGCCTGTTCTATAATGTATGCCAAATACACAGCCAAATTCAGAAATCCCAAGTGCTTCTTCACTTCAACATACTTGGCTTCTCTCCTTTGTAAAAGGGGTTTGATTTTCCCTGTAACAAATGACTTAAAGTAAGGTGCTTAAAAAGTCCACACTGAGTCTCAAATAGTGAACAAACACTTCAGAAATGCCCTCTGAGCCTCAGTTTCCCCTTCTGTAAAATGAAGGAGTTGGGTTCGAGTTAGTATCGCAGGCAAGACCATACCATGGATGGGTAGACTAATTTGCTACCACAAACCCCAGCAGGGAGGAGGGTGAGGGGAACAGAGCTGCAAATGTGAATGTGGGAGTGGGGCGGGGTGGTGGACCAGGATCAAAGCGGCTGGAAAACTGGCCTTCAGGAGTTCAGTGTCAGCTCTGAACCTTCAAGTCTCAAAAGTATGTCTTTGTCTTTTGATCTGATGATTTGGTCTAATATGATTGTCTCATTCATTCCAGTGTATGTACTTGCTGTAGATTTATGTACAGAATTAAATACCCCATTTATTAATTTATAAACCGTAATAAAACCAGTCATTTCCCCTCACCAGCAGATCTTGCATTGGAAAAGGGAAACAAATTAATATACAAATTTTAGCAACATCAGAAATTTCATTAAACCTGAAAAGACATGTAAATTCATTTTGGAGTTCAATTATCTGTCCAAGGAATCAGTTACTATAATCACAAAGATAACTACTGTAATATCTTTGTGGTGCAAAATTATCCCCATTTGTTGCTATTCCCCAGTGAGAAAAGTTCAGCTACGGACCATAGAGCCTCTGGTGGAGGCACTCAGCAAGCTCTTTTCCCAGATCCCCTTTGGGATTTCTCCTTCCCGTTTTACACAGCAACTGTCTCAAAACTTGGGACCAAAGTAATTATAAAGCAAATAAACGGCACAGGGACCTGAGGCCAGTGGTGCATAAACTCAGGCCAGAAGGGGACCAGGTGACCACTCCAGGAACAGCCCATTCATAAGCTGACAAAGTAACAAAAACCAGGAGTCAATCATAAGCTATGGTACTTCCTCTGACGGGAAAATGCCTCACTCACCAGGAGGTAAAGGTGACCCACTGTCCCATCTGCTGCTCCCTCCAAGTGCCTATTCAAGAGGTAGGCACGGTGCTGAAGGAGGAAGGCAGACGTCACTGAAGACCCCACCAGCAGAGCCAGTGGTCCTCTCTGTGAGGGCAGGGTCCTCTTGTGATGCTGGGGAAGTTGGAGACCCTCACCTGAACCTCGGCACATGGGCTACCTGCTGGGGCCATGTAATTTTCCTGATTTGATTTATCCAAACCCAAACCACAGTTTGGTGCTCACCCCTTCTCCCCTTCACCAGGACATGATTCAGATCCTAACGCAAACACCACCAGATCAGGTCATGGAATCAAAGTGCTGTGGTCTTGTCTATTACACAACCTACTGAGATGATGTGCTTGATTCACTCGGCCTTCAGCAGCTGGGGCCATTAGAGAGGAGCTCGAAAACGCTTCATCGCTTCCTACTAAGGCTGAAATGTATCAAGACAGGCATCACCAGTAGGGAGCTTTTCTTGTTTTTAAACATTTTAAGAACAAAAAGGGTTTTCAATCCATAAGCCAGCCCTCCCTCATGCGTCCCCCCTACAGGGGACCGAGGCATAAATACAACTACAAAATATTCCCTAGAAAAATGCAAGATCCTCATGAAATGAACATCTCCCCACCAAACATCCTACTAAGTCATCACAGAAGTGGTGAAGACTCATCAGACAAGACAAAACGAGTATTACAGAAATAGAGCTCGAAACACTGACATGATTTCCTAATGCTCCTTCTGACAGCCGCGCAGTCACTTCCTCCTCGCTATCCCCAGAGAGGAGAGCCGCCCTGCTCCTCTGGCAAGGGAAGCGAGGGCACAGGAGTGCAACTGCCCTACCTCTGGGTCTGGATACACACCAGCTCTGACGTGCAGGTCAGAGAAGTAGGCTCCAAGAATTCAAGGCTAATTGCAGGAGCTTTTCTCTTTGGGACATTTGCCAGTAACTGCAAATGGCCATGGGGTTGACCGGAAACTTTGTTCTGGTCCATCTTTGTTGTCGGAGATGCTTTTGAGTAACTGGCGCTCCTCTGCTCCATGCCTGCCTCAGCCTGTCGACCTATCTGAGCAGCGGAATGAAAGAGGCTAGTCTGTCGCTCTCAAGCACCACCCTACAAGTCCCTTCCTTGGCGCCCAGGAAACCCTCTGGCCTGTCGGAGGTCTGCATCCACAGCGATCCGGCCTTTCCGGAGAGTTATCTGGAAATATTATCTGGAAAGCAGAACAGGAACTCTCAAATACATGACTTGGGGAATAAGTCCACAAAGAAAGGTAAAAACCTGGCCAAGATCGCCATACCAACACAGCCCTCAGATGACAGACTCCAGGAAGAAAGGGCCTGGAACGCCGGAGCTCGAGGGCAGTGGTCCTTACCACGGGGCAACGTCCTGCGGCCGCCAGGGGCCTGGGAAGCCCGGGGTCTGCTGATGGTTATGCACTGTCCCCTCGGCCGGGTTGTACATTCACTGGTTGTCAGAAGTTTCTGGTACTGCTAGGGAGTGGGGGGAAGGAGTCACACAATGGTACCGCCCTGCCCTCTAGACTACACGTCATAACGGTTCAAACTGTAGGAATTTGGGTAGCTCTGCCGGCTGTACTGGAAGTGATCTGTCAAGATGTTGTTGCGACCATACTGATAGTCCTCGTGCTGGGGAAAGAGGATGCCATTGTGAGGTTTTTCCAGGGGGCTCCGATGGTGTTCCTTACTGCTCAGGTCCCCCGTGGTGACTGGGAGGAGGTGCTTCCGGGCTTGCTGATTGGCATCGTACTTGGTCTGCAAGGTCAAGAGAGCAGTGAGACAGTTGGCTCCTTCCCTGGGGCCCGTGCACAGGGCAGAGGCGAGCAATTGGCAGCCGAGCAGCCCTTCGAGACCCACTGAAGCATTGACCCAGGCAGGCCTCAGGCATGGCTGGCCCTCCCTGTTAGCCACCCGTGTCTTCGCACTGGACCAAACAGAGCCTTCTCGAGACAGTGAAATCCCTGACAAAGCCTCCATGGACCCAAGAGCCACGAGCCACGGCTGGAGTATGACATGGGAAAAGGAAGGCCGGGCCGGGTAGGGCCACATCACCATAAACCAGTCTGTGACAAAGCTGGAGCTGTGGCCCCAGCCTCTTAGCTCCTGCCGCGGTCCCTTTCTTCTCCCCCCACCACCTCTTGGTGCCTCCCTGGGCCTCGAGGGGACAGCCTCCCCCACCCCAGACTCACTTTGTTGTACAGAAAGACCCCCAGGATGGCTGTCATCATGCCTAGGACGTTGGTGCTGGTGACTGGGTTTTGCAGCATGATCAGGGACACCGTGATGACCATGATTCTCTTGGTGGCATTGGCGACAGAGTAGCTCAGAGGGCTGATGAGGTTGAGGATGCTGAAGGCGATGACATTCTGGGCGAAGTTACAGAAGCCGCTGACAGCCAGGAGC